AGGGGTGGAGCATTTCGTTCGCATTCAAGAAACAGCCCCGAACGCGTTCGGTCACGCTGGGTCTCAGTGAGGAACGCGTGGCATGCCGTTTTCGCTTGCTTTGTTTACCCTCTTCCATGATGAGTTAGTGTACAGTGCGTGTGTCTGGGTATGCCTTACGTCTGTGAACACCAAAAAGTCCATTGAAGGGCCGCTTTACCTTTGATAAAGCCGTATAGTATGATAAGTTACGCAAACAGCATGAAGGCTCTACCCTTAAATAGCAAAAATATATATTGAGCTAAGCCGACACACTTGCAGATTTGGCTACATAATTTCACTTTTCACAAAATTTTACGCGAAATCGGTAGGACAAACTGCACGTTAATTGCATTTTATAGGACCGCAATTTTTTCTGAATGTAATGGCGTGTGGTGTGGCCAGTAACCCACTAGCCTAAAACGGTGTGGCAATTTAATTTATAAAGAATATTTATTCGCTGATTCCGTGATTTTAACCTGTTGTTTCGATAAACAAGAGCCAAAGCCGACTCATTGCACTTTCACATGTTTCGACTTTTCGAAAAGTGCAAGTCCTGTTATGACTGAGTTTACCTGCTACCTTGGGAATAAATCAACCACTGGGTCGTTGAAGATCGGCTATGGTCTCCTAAGTCATGCCCTACTAGGCAGAATACATAAGATAACAGTGAATTTCGTTTTGCGAGGTAAAAGTTCTTGACAGCCCCAACCTTTTTGCAAACCGTTACAGTTAAGGCATAAGGGCATGTAAGTATGTGAATGCAACACAAATGCACAATAAGATTCAACATGCGAGGTAGCAACACCACTTCAATTAATGCTGAGGTCGTCACCAAATGATCCGCCTGATTCGTTAACTAATTTCATGTTTAAATTAAAGAATGACTATTGGGTTGCGTAAACAGTTCATTACTCACTTTTAATGTGTGTGACATGTGATATGCAGTCGAATAAACAGGGTCTCAGCATGTCACTACTTTGTGCCTTCCATAAACCGGGTGGGGCAGTCATTCTTCACAATTTTGAGTGTTTTTAAATGTTTTCGTTTGCTGAAAAACGTAGAGTCGCAAATTATTTCATTAAATTTATTGTAAACTGGAACCTTCATTATTGAGTACCCTCGATAACTGCTCGTGAAAAGTGCCGGATGACCAATAAAACACCACATGGGTTAAAACTGATTTTGGATAAACGAGACAGAATGCCCACTCAAACATTTAACACCCTCCTTGTTTCTATTTTAATCTTACCCACTAACTACTAGGATTAACCGCACAGAAGGTTTCGACTGGTTAGGTTTTTGGTTTACCTGTTTAGGATGGCAACGCTGGTAAGCAATGCGGAACATTAAAATAACTCCCGGGCCCCGGCGACCACCAAGGATTTACCTCCTCACAAAATCATATTTTCACAGAAAGTACTTTTCCATAAAATACTGATTTCAAATACATAAACGAGAAGCCCTTGCAACTTTAATTTTTTCATTACCACTTATTTTCGCGATAATGAGAATAATAGTTGCCATTTTACAAGCTCCAAAAAGGTGGGAAAGCATGAAACAGAATTCGCATGAGCACCAATTCATTTGCATGAGAAAAGCATTTAAGGGTAGTCGATGTCTCTAAGGCGGTATTTTACTCGCTGGCAGTTATGACTTTAAGCCTTCTATGTCTAAAGACGAGTTTCTACCTACCCTGCACTCATAGAACTAACTGTAAGTGCTTATATGTACCGTTCGTGCTTTTGCGGTGCTTTAGGAATAAAGAAAGTTACAAGTGAAGAATTTAAAAACCAGCACACATAAGCTTCCTATGTATTTGAATCGGTTCAGGGGGAATACGAGGATTGTTACGGCCTTTTGTGGTCATGGTTAGGAATTCCCATTTGAAAGACAAGTAGCTACATGTATTAGCTTGCGTGCATCTGCTTATGCTTAAACAATGTTTAGACGCCCAATTACTTCGATGAAGGTAAATTCATTGCATCCAATAGAAATATTTACACTAAGTGAGCGCCAATTAAATTGCTGTATTAAATAATTAAATCCTGTGATTGATGAGCTATCCAATGCTGCACAATGTTAATCGGATAATTAGGCACCAATTTAGTGACAAGTCCAAATAGAGGTAAGGACAGGGCGTCGATGTGGATAACCGGACTGTGGCTTTCCATTGCATCTAGCGTATCACGTCTCATGTACGATCGGCAAACCCTGAAGAAGGTCCGCCTTAGGCAACCAGAATTTGGAATAAATTATGGTTGACAAAAGCCTCTCGCCGAAGTCCTCAGCACTATTGCTGAGGCCAGTGGATAATGGGCCATCGCACCAGTCGTCGGATAGCACGACAGCCGATGGACGGCACTAAAAGTGCAATGAATTGGATCACTCAATCGACAACCACAACTTTCGTGTATTTCCCTTTAAAAGGCCATCGGGGCAAAATGTGCTTCCTGTTTGACAAATATTAAATTTAGAAAATGGAATTATAACCTTAATGGTGAGAGAATTGTTCCCATTATTGAACCCAGTGTTAAACTTAGGTGAGCATGTTTGCCTTTCACAAAGGTTCTTATAACAATTTAAAACTTAAAGAACTGCCTGAATCCTTACCCTTGTAGTGTAAAGGAGCCTAATGTTGACTTACACAACAAAAAATTATCCTTATTCAAAGCCAATTTCCTTTTACTAAGGTGCTAGGAACGCTGTTATCCTCGGAAGAGATTCTTTTAATCTAACATAGGTAGGCTAAAATGGAAATTTGTAAATATTTACCATCTTTTTGAGGTTTGAGCACTAGCATGCGATGTCCGCTTATTTGAATTGCACGAACTTAAAATCTGGGAGCCATTTCTTAACGGGAGGGTGCTTATGGTAACCAAAGCCAAATGAAAAGAGAAGACTCCGAAAGTGGCTTCCGTTTTAATTTCCACTGCTAGTCGCTCTAATTTTAGGTGCCTCTTCGAAAGCCTAAGCCAAAGTACCCGCTACTAAGGTGGACCGTTAAAATGCTCAATGGAGTTTATCATAGTTTAGCCTACATTAGATTTCTGACGTAACGGCCATACTGGGATCGCATACGCTTCCCAGTCTTGAAGGCAACTGGGAGTTTGAAGCAGTATTTTCAAGCTATCCCATTAGCTGCTGCTTTAGCAGCGCCGATGTTATGTTTTTTCTGTTTTCTCGTTTTCCTGTTTTCCTCTTATTTTGCCTATTGACGTTTACTTAAAGCACAAAATGACGTCGTTAGTGCAGGTGAGGAGGGTTTAAATAAGAGCATACTAATTTGGCAGTCTGAGTTCTATGCTTAGCTAAGTCACAGACAGCTTTAGGAGTTATCACGGTAGAGTTGGCTAATTACCGGTTGAAAAGATTGTCATGCTCATTTGGAAGCTTTCGAAAATCGAACTGGCAATATGCCTTTCATACTCAGTCCACCAACACCAGATGCCTCGTGTCTGCATTCACCAACTGGCATTGACACGGTACCAAGCCCAAAACTATTGAAATGGGTTTCATTAAGGTCAACAATAACGCACTGAATTGTAAAACGGATGTAACCTCCATTTTGGTTTCGCCATCAAAATTTATCCATTAAAATTATAATTCACAGGTAATACAAATCCAAAATTATTGGAGGTCATAATTTTCCGAGCGCAAGGTAAGTATAAATTTATACTGTTATCGGCTACATTCACTTCAAGTAGCGTCCTAGCACTACACACGGTTATTGCTTTAAAATTCGAAAGTCTGTATTTTAAACAGGATAATCCACGAAGGCTAGATGTTGCTGCCGTAAATGCTAAGCCCCGTAATGCCCTTCAAAACTCAAACTAGTGACTACGGCATATGCGTTTTGGTTTTGAGTTACTAGGGGAGTCTTAGTGTGTGTTTCATGCACGCCTTTTATTTATGCACATCAAAGTTTCGCTCACTCATTGTCTCAGGACGACTCCTAAACAGAATCACTGACACACGAAATATGTAGTTCTAAGTTCAGCCCTATTCAAAGTCGAATTTACCTTTTTTAGTGCGCTGAAGTGAGTAGACGTATGTCAGTCAATTGGTATTCACTGTGCAGCACAGCCTTTATGCAACTGGGAACCCACATTTTTGAGTTTATCTGTCATACCTGATGTCTACGATTCCAGCTTGTCCATACAACACACCAGATTCGCTTCGATTGCAAAGCTGTGAAGGCTTACTTTTTAGTCGTTTTTTTTTCGATAGTAAATTTTGGACTACGATAAACGGTCCCTAAAAATGCACTCTTTAGAAGCATTTTAAAGATGTTGATTAAAATCCCCTTTATCATGAGCGGCTGCCTAACCTTGACAGCAAGATATTGCATATCCATTTTGAGAATGATCTATGAGTAACTTGTAAACGACTTACTGTAGTTATTAAAACCTAAGTTTCATGGGACACGTTTTCTACGCCTCTAAACTGCTGTTGGGGTATTTTCATTATTGACACAGTAGTACCCGTTACCTACTTAACATTTGGTTCGATTTTACTCATTCACCTAGAGATCCTTAAAATACAACTAGCCAAAAGTTAAAATAAAACACGAGCAAATCTTGTTGTTGCGCTTTAGCGTACATGCTATTATTTTATCTCCTTTTTAAAATACTCTCATTTCCATTATGGTCGTCAAATGTCTCTCAGCTACCGTTCCACATCTTGTCTTCACCCTGCTTATGATTCAAAAACGCGAATAATCCATTACCATCCGCGTGTTGCCCTTGGTGGGAGGTTGGGACAGAAAACTTTAATGATTAGAACGTGTTTACTTAAACTACTAAGTGAACCGAGTAGGGACCACTTAACACAGAAAAAATAAAATAGAGCACCAGGGAGTGAACGAAGCATCAATTTACAGACGTTCAGCCAAACAAACTCAAGGGAATATAAACATTTTGGAAGGAAGGGAGAGTTAAAATACAACCAAAGGGAGGAAGGTGTTGCACAGTCACTGAGGTCTATTTTCCCTTTGGGGCGGACTGATGTATTACTTCTCGTATGTCAATCAATCCCGGTGTAGGACGCAGACGCCTTTCCAACGGTGGAAACAGCTCCGAGTCTCTTATAGCCTCGGCAGATCCAGGAACACAATCTACCATAGTTAAGAAGCGGCCACCATCTACAATGAAGCTCGCAATCAGCTCTGGGTATGCTGTCCTCCATCCCTTTCCTTCATTCGGTATTATCAGCGTACCATCCTAAAACAAATTCAACATTATCTCAACCGTCACTTTGATGAACACTTCTTTCGAGGAGCGCATTGACCCACTTTTTCCAGCAACTGCCGGATTCGTCTGACTCTGCGAATAGTCGGGGAGAGGTCGATTGCCAGACCGATGACAAAGTCATCAGTTCGGCGCTTAACACGCTCGATCAGATATTCCTCGTAATCGGCCTCGTTCCATTCCACTATTTGGGGCTTCGCGAGTTCGAGAATATCGTGAGCGAAGGGAACAATCTGTTGAGAAGATGGATAAAAGCAGTCAAATCCATCTCAATTTCGTGCATTTCAAATATCGGGGTGTGGTTCTGTTCTTTGACATCTTTTTACTAGGTGAATTTACACACGCACACACACAGTGGATGTAACAATCACGCTCAAACAAGGTGATAAGTACAATCACGTGATGGGCCAGACACGAAGGTGTAGATTTGCTGGTTATTTAAGCATTTGCATGGGCGCTAAGATTTTACGAAAGCTAGAAGAATCAATAAACTCACATCTTCAATGGCCACGATGATACGCGAAAGTATGAATGGATCATCGTTGACCGCTTCTGAGATAGCATTTACACACTGCCTGAGATCGGCTGCATCACCGCAGAGAAGAACACGGACATTTGCAGGGTCTAAGAAGGGTAAAAAGAAACCTAGCATCTCCACAAGATTTAGCAATTCTCACAACCAGCCAACGACAACTAACCTGTCGCAATTCCACCATTTTCGTTTAAAGGTTCAATGTCTGTAGATGAATTAAAAAGTACGTATTCAACAAGTGCATGCAAATAAGGAGAGATGATTGTGAAGAATTTGTGCATCATCACACTTACCCCGCCTGAAGGTATTCAGACTGGATACAATAGCACGAACCATGAATTGCATTTGAGGCGAAATGTGGATGATCTGTGAGGTGTCATATGGTTCGAAGGGATCGCGTTTGCCTAGGGTTCTTGTTCTGGAAGACATTTTGCATATGATAAAAAGTTTTTCGAGTCCAATTTAAATAGGTTCACGAGTCTGTCATAAACCAATTACCAGTCGCGCCAGGTGCCGGCGCACCTACTCATGCCACACATAGTAAAGGTGATTGGATGACTGTGCGAACCAGGAGTATGGGTGCCACCATATGACCTTGACGCCAACTCCAATCATTTGCGCAGTTGGAGTGCGCATAGGTGTCATCAAGGTAGTGCGTGCCCGTTCATACGCGTGAACACAAGGACGTTGGTGACACGAAAGGCAGTTTTTCAATCATATTGGACGTCGTAGAGGAGACGAGGAGTGTGCATGCACGCCTAGTTATGTCTGCATAATAATTTGACCCCTCGATCATGGATGCAGGGCGTGATGCTGAAATCTAGAATTGGCAACATTTTGCAAACAAATGTCATGCTAACATAAAAATCACACTTTCTTTAGAGTATTTATGAAACCAGAATAGAAAGCTGGAAAAAGCCTCAATCACAGTGGCTCCCAAGAAAAGCCTTTCCAGATTTATCAGCGTAGCAGACTTTTATCTAATTGTAGACAGTGCAGCAAGTTAAGTGAAACTGAGTACATACAGAGCACTACCTGCGAGGAGTGCGTAGAAATTTTGCACATAAACGGGTGTGACTGGCTCCCTTACCAAAACCTGCGTCACCAGGGTGTAAATCGTTTAAATTATGGTAAAGTGACGCGCACACTTAATTTATCGGTTAGTCTATTAATCTCAACTGTGGGTCTGCAGCGTACCCCAGTGCAAAGGTCAGTGGGAGAAGGCACCCACGTGATTCGTGAGGGCTGATCAGAATAGGCGGGAACTATTGAGCACAAATAAGACGGAGCGGTGCTCGCAAATCTTCACTGTTGCGCAGGTCATAAATGATTCAGACAAAATAAGGTATTATTTAAAAATATGGGTGAAATAATGAAAAAATTAGATTCAAGAATTGATAGATTTTGTTCATATAATGTAGAAGCGAGCAGCGTTTATTTTGTGGCATTATACGTAGAGCTTAAGAACTAAAATGGGCTCCAAGGTGCCAAAACTGTAGCGTATGCTCGATAGCAGCATAGCATCACTGGGAAACCTTATTGGTAATGTGATTAATTATTTCCAGTACGATTTGTTTTACATGCTTTTTTTTTCTTTTAACCAAGTCTGATTGCTTACTATCAAGTTGTCTTTGTGATGGTAAACCAAGGTTTAATGTTTTCGAGGCTCTCTCTCCTCTCAGAGCCCACTTGCTTGGATAAAACGCTCTTCTACGAAAGAGGTGACAATCAAACTTCATTACCATCTTTGCACCTCTTTTACTAATCCAGTCACAAGCAAAAGTACACTTGAAGTGATCGGACACACACCTCGGTGAGGGTACTTGTGGACGGAAACCCAAATGTGGAATCATTAACTGTCGTCAAGCCTCATTTTTATTGCATCCTTTTGTAATGACGTGTTTACGAAATAAAATCTGACAATTTTTATGAAGAACCACATTATGCAGTGCGATAAGTGAATTGATTTGGAGAAAAAAGGGCGCCAAAATAGATCATGTAGGACACAGTTGTTGTTATTTTCATATCAACAATCCAAACATGCACTTCAATTAACTTAAACAGTACAAAACAAGTGAAGAAATGGAATTCGCATGCGCATACATCCCATCGCTTATTCCAGTTGCCACAACTGCTGACGTTAACTCGGACTCCTGCTGACAGCACGAGCCTGACTGCAGTCAAACTTTATTTTGACACCGGGTTTACTCAAATTTGTCTCATAAATGTGGTAATAAAGTACAAAATCAGCTCAGTCGGAAGTATTCCTGTGTAAACTTTGACACAGGAAGTGTGAACTTAAAAATCATTAGAAAATCTTGCATGCAGGTGTTGACGAGAAGGCATTATGGCGCATGCTTAAGAGGGGCGTGCTAAAGTCATTCCCTCCACCATTGATTAAGCAGAGCCTGCAGCATATAGAAACGTGAACTTCCATGAATTGTCCTAAAGAAAAAGGATAATGCAAGTAACCATTCGGTTTTTTCACCTGATGCGAATAAAAACTACTCGTAATATATGTAGCTCGGGGAAATCTGCAAGTCCACGCAAATCTGGCGAGGTGAACAAGAATAGCCCTCCATTATTCTTTTGCAGGAGAGCCCAAATCATCGAATTTATAAGGCTCGCAGTTCGTCGAATTACTAGTGCCTCATTGTGTGATTCGATTATTACTTTTTTTTTTCACTGGTTGGGGATGTAGAAATGGCAGGAGAACTGGGGGTGGAAGAGAAGCGAAACCACATCAAGTGGCAAAACCAAATGAGAAGGGACATGAATTATTCATTGCATTTAACCTATTAAATGCACTTAACTCCTCTGGTTTATAGCTTTTGACAATATTTGCAATTATTCACTGTTCCGAAAGTTTAGTTCAACATGTTTCTTAGTTGTAGTGCACAAAGCTCGCCAAGGTAATCGCGTAGCTAGAATCAGAATTTGGTGTAAAATCCCTTCAAATGTCATCGTCAATGCCGTACAAGAGAAGTGGCGATCAGTCAAATTTCGATTTATGCGGCTGTGCCATTACAGGGAGCAGCTTCCCAAATCAGCAACTTTTCCATTTACCTTGAAGCATATGAGAGATTGCATTTAAACCCGCGCATAAGACTGAGGTCTGCAAAATAGGCACTAACATAAACAAGGCTTTTATAAGTGAAATGAAGGGGAAATACTCTACAATGAATAGTCTTTTAATTTTATCTGACAAAGTTCATTCATTTCAAGGTCCAATTTCCTCAAAATCACACCCAACCAAACGATGATCTTCAAGTAATTGTCAATGAGATGAATTTTTTGGCCAAATTGTTGTTCAAGGATTGAAGCAGTTTGTGTATTAGTGACAGTCAACGATTTGCAAACGGGATAGCGGCTCTAATGAATGGTGGAGTGAGCGATATCAATATGGTGATGGAATTTATCATTGCCTGTTCTAGGCCGACTCGAGCTAGATACACACCGAGGACTGATGAAATCGGTTAATGCTGCGAAATCTTCCTTCGAGAGCATTCGCACATCAGCAACTAATGTGCATATACACTAGTACAAGGGCGAGCGTCTACACTCAACCACCTTCCCATGTATCAAAAGTGCCCATGGTAAAGCTCGCATTGCAAACATGGATGTGCACAGCCTTAATCTAAATAGTGCGAAGTGCTACAAAGGCACAAATTAGCTCTTAAGGCTTACTTAAGATCTGCTCCACCGTTGTATTCTCACTTATTTCGCTCATTATTTACTTGTTGCTTTTGTTCGATTAAGGCAACCTCCAAACATCATGCTCGATCTTGTGCTATCTTATAAATATTGCTAAAAAGAGGGTTGTAGGTTTGGAATAATGTCAAGGATACACAATTTTAATTGGTTAAATATTAGGCTTGCTATAATGTGAGTCGTTTTGGGAGATTTCGACGCGAATGGGTCTTCTATGCTTACAAAAAGAGAACAGGTAAATGAGAATAAACTTACAAATGTTTCCGGTCATGTTTGTTTTATTACGTATTCATTCGTAAATTGAAAGATGTTCAAGGTTTGTTGACAGTAGGGGAGACGAGTATCGTAATCCACAGCTTGCAAAGCTTTACCGAGTGATTTGCACAGTTTAATGAAATCGCCCAGCCAACGGATTTGTTGATAGTGAGGATGGCACTGGCAATTATGATGGTGGTGATTAAGCTAGCAGAAAAAGGTCTCCTAGCCTTATTTGGACAGTCTTTCATCCATTTACACTAAATTTTAGTTAGTACCCAACGCACTGAATGGCGTGCCTCTATTGGCCTATTTGGAAGCCTTCATCCCAAACACACTCCCATCCTACGGCTTTTCAACTATTGGTTGCCAAGATCTTCCACTCTCCTTGCTCTACTTACCAGACACTATGAAAATGCTGGCGCTCCTAATAAACCTTAGACTTCCCCTCAAGTCGGCACATCAGTCACTGAAGTACCAACAAAGTTGATATGTCTGAACCTAGTAGTACTGAAAAGAAGAAGAAGAAGAAGGAGGCAAAAGTCAGACACATTGATTCCAGAGTTAGCTTCACTAATGTGTGTGAGTAATGATTAAATTAACTAAAAGTTAACGTAAGTAAAGCAACAACCGAAATTTTCCACCTGTGTTTTAAGGAAGCTATCAACACATCTGTCGATTGCTGAAATCTACTGCTCAGAGAGTTCAGTTTCACATTTTGTCGCCAGATTTCCTTAAAACACTTCCCGCAAACGGCCAAAATGTTTAGCTACATTTTTAGTTGTGACAGTTAGCAATCAAAGGCATCATATCGATTGCCATAACATCCTGTTTTTTGTCCAAAATAGGCACTTGGCTGATCAGGTTCTGAATGCATGACTGTCACTCTCATCACCCTGAACTCTGAGTGACCCGATACAATTTTAAAACCACACTATGCAGAGCTATTATGGTGTTTCGATATGCATGATTGAGAGACTATTTTGAGAAATAAGGCAGGATTTGGCTCATTAATCATCGACTGCTTCAGCAGTGAGCCCCCAGTCTGTCTGATTACACTAAAGGTCCATTATTAAAAGGCTTCGAGAGAAGCGTAGTTTTTTTAGTTTTGCCATGTTACAACTGAAGTCCCCGAGCATTATTAACTTACATTTGGTTATGAGGTCCAACATTACGCATGATGAAATAGTGGACGTTGCGAAATCACGATGCTCAGGTATGATGGAAGGGCTGGGTGTTTCAAGGGCTTGGCTCTACTAAGGGATGTCATGAATGAGACCAAAATGCTGGGAAACCCCTTTATATTTGACAAAACTAAGTCTGCTTCCATTGTTAAAGAGACCACTAATTGGGTGGACAATTTGTGAAAGGGATTGTTGGTGACCTTGGCTGTTTGGAACCGGTAGACCCTTGTTCTTTACTGCTTCGTGGCTCTGGTTAAGCATTTCTGTCATGCTTGTCCA